GCAAGCCTCGGTGTTGCTCCCGCGCCTCGCTCAGCCAGTGAGCGGGAGCCGGTCTGTATGTGGGATCCGAACCCTCGGACGGGAGCGCAGCCACGCTTCCCAAGCGGCGCACTATCCAGTGCGCCACCGGGCCGGCCCCACAAGTTAATTTTTGAAAGATCAGGGTAATATGATCTGTGGCAGAGGTGGAAATGAAGCATAAGGTTTGGCTCCAAGAAATATCATAGAAAGGAAATACAAACCAAAGTTTGGTTAGTATTTAGGGAGTCCAGTGGAATAGACAGTTTGGTTTCCTTCTTTCATTTCAGTTAATGTGCATAATTATTCAATATGCTAATATTAATGTTATTGCTAATATTTTTTAGAGTCCCTTGTGATTCTGGGGTTCCTAGGATGGCATAGAAAATAGTGATTTTTTTTTTAATCCAATAAAATTTTGATAGGTGATATTTGCAGTAGATGTGCAGAGGTTCAGATTCGCTCTTAGGAAGATGTAGAAATCTCTGTGAAGTCACGTTTGGTAAATTAGAACTAAAATGTTATTTTTAAAGTATGTATTTGAGATACAATGAAAACGTTTTTTAGAGTTTTAGATATCTTCCTTGTAAATGGATCATGTTTACCATTATTATTTTATTCTTGAATTGAGTATATTTTGCTTTTTGAATGTACAAAGCTTAATTTTAAAAGAGATAGTCATTTAATATGGGATAAGATGAATGAAGTGCAGTCTTCTTGGAAATGAAATGTTAAACCACTTGAGATAAACCAGAAAAGTAGGACACTTGTCCTCCTTGATTGGGCAGTAATTTACTTCAGATTGGTGAATGCTTGGCTTCTAAGACAGTGTGACTTTTACTGTAATATTTTTTCATTTATTCTCCATGTTGAATTGGTTTTCCCATTTATAATACTGTAAACCTTTTAGAGTAATCACAAGAAATTCTATCGTCTGATTGCTGTGGCTGAGTAGTAAATACCTTTTATCTTTTTGATATTGTAGTTGACTCACGTTGACCAGGCAAGCTTCCAGGTGGATGCATTCGGAACATCATTCGTTCTCGATGTCATACTAAACCAGTAAGTATGTGTTGAGCTGCGCTCACTTTTGTCAGATATACATTGAATTTACTTTCTCATCCTTCTATAAAGTTTTTTCTCACTATATTTTACTTCATTTTCCTATACCAGTTAAATACTACATTTAAAACTGTACCTATTGACTGTAAGGTATAAAGTCTGACAAACAGCAAGAAATAGATATTCATTTGAAATTAAACAGCTATACCAGATTTAAGAATGTAAAATTGAGGGCAAGAGTTACTTCAATATTTTGTAAAAGAATATGTGATCCAACTTTCCTATGAATGACAAATTATGAAAATAATGCTTTGGGTATTGAAGTAACTTTCTTAGAACAACAGAAAAGAGAAAATTACACTTTTTTATTCATGATTCAGGGGACTGACTCCATGATATGTGATGCTAAATACTGCCTGGTGTCCATTAGATGCTTTGAATTGGGGGTAGATTTCTGTGAGGTTCAGAGTACTGCGGTTATTCTGTAAATGCAGTATAATTTTAGAAATTGTCATTTGTCTACCTTGAATTTTGTGTTTGGAAGGGGCTTTTGATAAATCACTGGATTTAATCTCTTTCCTTTGGGTACGTAGTGTTTAATAAATCTGCTTGGCTATCTTCACTTTTTAAGAAACAGTTTCTACCCACTTCTCGTCATGGGCAAGTGGGGAGAGACCAGAGAAAAGATGTGGGTGAGGAAGAGTAAAGCAGTAAAAAAGAAAAACAGGATAACGGTTTGGGAACAGCTTGTGAAAGCTGAGGTTTCAGAATCTAGCTGTGATTTGGAAAGTTAAGTTCCTAGGTTCCTGTTTCAATGACTCTTTCCCATCCCTCTTTTAAATCATTGTTCCTGTTGGATAGTCTCCCTTGTTTTCTGGTCCCTAACATTTGTATCTCCTTGACTTTCAATATGCAAACAATGAAGGGATATTTATTGATGTCCATTCTGCCCAAACTGACTCACTTCCTTTGGAGAAATCTGAGTCCAAAAACTTTCTGTTCCTGAAGGAGAAGCACATATGGCCGTACTTATCAGAGCATGAACCTTAGAATACTGAGGGTGAAGCAGAATTTCTTTCAAGATATTGGCAGGAACCTCTGTTAGGCATTTTTATTCTTATTTCAATGCAAATTTGAAGAAATTTGCAAGAAATACAAAGGATAAACTAATAGCATAAGTGGAGGTTGACTAGTTTGAGAAATATGCAGTGTGCTCATTTTTTGTCTGGAATCTATATTAAACATACGTGGCAGGTAGCTGTTTTCTTTATGCTATAAAAACCACAATGATGTGATACAAAATTTTTGATTTTATTATTTACGTAGAATGTTTTTATTTCATGGTTTCAGTTTGTGTATTGTCTTCTAGTTGGTTAAGGAGCAGGAAGGTAAAAAAATTGGATATGCTCTATAAAAGCTTTTTTTCCTTGTGAAGCAATTCTAGGACTGTGGAATATGTGGAATTTTTTAAACTGGAGGAAAATTAAATAAGTGTATTTGTACTTGGATTCCAGTTGTAGAATGGATCCAGTAATTCATATTTTTAGATTGAAATGGAAGGAAAAATATCATTACATAATATTTCTTCTGAATGTTCACTAAACAACATTATCTATAACCTGATTACACAAGAGTTCAACCTTTGGGTAGTAACTTCTATAAGAGGCTGATAAAAAGTATGGAAAGGTTAAAAACAAAAGGTACAGCTGGCTCCTGTTTGTCAAAATTATGAAGAAAAGGGTGGGAAGCAATTTTCCTTCATGGGATGACAGTTGTGAAATTTTACTTTATAGGACAGGTATATTAATATAACCAAACATATGGCCTGGCCTTGCCAAACTAGTCCTGAGGCTACCTTGGACCTTTCCAGAGATCAGAAGCTGGTATTATACTTTATTGTAAAACATCCTTCATAAAGAAAAAGTCTCAATAGAGACATTTAACTATATTATCCAAGCAGTTCAGATCAAATCTTTTCCTGTAAATCTCTCTTCTGTTCTTCAAGAGGTGGGTAATTAAATTGCCCAAAGCGATGCAAGAATGTTGAAGAAAATTTTCTTTAAGTAGTACTCCTTCATCCTTTTGCAACAGGTGACATGACAAAAACCACACACACACATACCATGAAGAAAGAAACGCTTCATGTGGACTATATTGTTTTATGATGTGAAACATATAATTGGAAAGACAGAACCTGTCTTTTATGTAGCCTTGTTTTTCTGGAAGGGATTCTGTTGTACAGCTCTCGGATCTTAGATGATCCAACTCCTAAATTTTGACTGTATTTTATTGATTCTCACCCTTTTATCTTCTTATTTTAATAAAAACGAAATGGTTTCTCTCACTTTGTGATCCTTATAGCATTCGCTTTTGTCCCCCCCCTATTTCTCAGTGCGTGGCGGGAGGGCAAGTAGGAATGCCAACATGACAGATGTCAGCAGATGGGGTTGCCCAGGCAGAATGGGGGGTGGCATGGAGATGGTGGAGGGGGGAGAAGCAGGAACAAGGTCAGACAAGGGACACCCAAATTCTGTTCAAATGAGCAAGTTCAGTCTTGTCTTCTCTCATTTCGGGGAATCATTTTCTGATTCATCACCTCATCCTTGCTTTACACTGGGGCCCTTGAATTTGCAGGGAAAGTAGGAATCACAACAGGTAAAAGACAGGGTATGAATTCAGTTGGAATTGAAAGTTAGCTCTGGAAGTGTCTCCTTTATTTTACCATACTCTATTTACAGTGTGGTTGATGAAGATGATAAAAATAAGTGGTGAGGATAAGATTATAATTAAATGATGATATTATGTGATGATAATGAATAACAATAGATCTCTCACTGTTATTAATAAATCTGTAACTGGATATCTTGCTGTTCCACTAAATTTATTATGGTGAATATTTGTTCATATGTACATTCAATACAAAATTATTATGTTGAAGACAAATCTGTGTTGAATAGTTTGAGATCCTTGTCTTCATTTCATATATACAAGTATATATGCACACATATATACATAAAATATGTACACACACATACACTCGCATTTTTTAATTTCCTAGTAAGTGCCAAGAGCTGTTCTAGACACCGAGGACTCAGAAGAAACAAGGAAATAAGGACTCCACTCTTACAGAGCTTGCATTCTAGTTAGAGAGACAAACACGAACATGTTAAATAAGGTAATTTCTGAGAGTGATAGTGTCATTAATAGAGAGTGCCTGGCGTGAGGATGAAGGTGCTATTTGAGCAGTGGTTGTCAGGGACAGGCCATCTCCAAGGAGGTGACATTTGAATGTAAGGGGCCCCCAAGCAGAGGGTTAAGGCCCTGGGGCATGAACAGGCTTAGCATGTCTGAGAAACAGAAAGACGGCTTAGGATATGTGGGTGAGAAGACGGCAGTGATGGGGGAAGCAGCGTGAGGAGCCAGAGGAGTGCTGTGTCTCCTTGAAATGCACCACCATGGCCCTCCACAACCTGCAGTATATTTTTGGAGATTTTAGCCCTGATGAGTTCAATCGGTTCTTTGTGACTCCTAGCTCTCCAGTTGAGCTTCCTTCATACAGTGGAACAGTTCTGCATGGCACACAGGCCACAGATGAACTACCCGATGGACAGGAATATCAGAGGATTGAGTTTGGTATTAATGAAGTAGTTGAACCCAATGACATTTTGCAGAGAACTTTCAGCTACAGTATTGCAAGCCCGTTGAATCCTCAGGCCCCTGAATTTATTCCCAGTTGTACAAAGTCCCAAAAGACCCCTGATGGCATAGATAAAGAAGCAAACTTCAGCTCCATTGACTGCTAGCACCCAGGCTCTACCCTGGCTTTGGGTAGCAGTTCTAATGTAGAGGTGGAAGCTTTGGACAAGGACACTGTCTCAGGGGGTCTTGGACAAAGGGACTGTAGAAAGAAGAAAAAATGGCTTCCCAGATATTAGTTCCTTGAAAGATGGTGGCGATGATATTTCCACAGAAGCCCGGGTCAATGGCCATGCCAATTCAGCAGTCGAACAGTCAGCACAGAGGGTGCAGAATCTATGGGCGATATCCCACACCCCTGTCAGTCACGCCCAGGACTTGTAAGAGCCCTCAGAACTCCACAGACTTTGTCAGTGACAGTGAGCCTGACGGTCCTTTCCCCAGAGCACGTGACAGCAATGCCAGATTGCAGGGCAGCCTGAGGGATGGTTTGGAACAAGCCGCCTCCCCGCAGAGGCTGGCAGAGACAGCCTGTGAAGGACGGCTGCGGCTCAGCCCTACGTCGGTACCGATATTACTGGAAACCTTGGAGTTGCTAACGGACAAATACTTGAATCTTCGGGTGAGGGCACAGCTGCCAATGGGGTGGAGTTGCACACGGTGTAAGGCGCAGGCTCGTATTCAGCGAAACCGGAGAGCACGTCGCCTCCCGCCGGTAGCGCGCTCTCTGCGGCCCGTAGTGCTCTCTCTGTGGCAGGCGCCGTTCCCGCCCGTGTCTTTAACGGTTCTCAGCCCTCTCCCTCCTCGCCTGTGGTGTATGTGGAAACGAAGTATTCCCCTCTTGCCACATCTCCCCTGGCCTCCAAAAAGCAGGTTGAAGTGAAAGAAGGGCTTGTTCCAGAATGTAACCCTAACACAAAATAAACCAGTGTCATTGCAACCCCACGGTCTGGTCAATAGAGGACACCGTGCTACGTTGATGCTACGCTGCAGGCACTGGTTGCTTGCCCTCCGGTCTATCGCCTGATGAAGTTCATTCCTCTGCGTTCAAAAGTGCAAAGGCCTTGTACGTCAACATCCATGATAGATAGCTTTGTTCATCCAATGAATAAGTTTACTAATATGCCAGTACCTCCAAAACCCCAACAAACGCTTGGGGATAAAATCGTGAGGGATATTCACCCTCGAACTGCCTTTGAACTCGTGTACATTTGTAGACTCCTGACAGTTATTAACTCGCGCCTGTCTGAAAAGGGTGGACAGGAAGGTGCTGTGAGGTTCTTAAGCCTCATACCAAATGGATT